CTTTTTGAGACAGGGTCTCCCTATAGCTCCAGCTGTCCTGGAACTCACTATGTAGACCAGGCTGGCCTTGAACTCAAGAGATCTGCCTGCCTTTGCCTCCAGAGTGCTGGGATTAAAGGCATGTGCCACCACACCCGGCTGATTTAATGATTTTTATTTTGTGTATATGAGTGTTTTGCCTGCATGTATGTAAGTGTACCACGTACATGCAATGCCTGCAGAGTCCAGAAGTGGGTGTCAGATTCCCTGGAACTGGAGTTAAGGATGATTGTTAGCAGTCACGTGGGTGCTGGGAACTGGGTCTTCTGTAAGAGCAGCAAGTGCTAGCACTTTTTTTTTTTTTCTTTTGAGACAGGGTCTAAATATGTAGCTTAGAGTGGCCTTCAACTCAGGATCCTCCTGTCTCAGCTTCCTGAATGCTGGGATGACAGGCTTGTGGTGGTTGGTAACACTGATGTGACCAGATGTCACATGTACAAGGTGACAGGACCTCAGCTACCTGAGGCCCTGAGTGACTGCAGAATGCTCTCTGCAACTGGGTCACAGTCAACAACAGATCCGGCCCTGAGATTTGGGGCTTCTGTGGCATTGTTACCGCAACCCAGTGTCACCTACAACAACAACCCCAGCTTCTGCCCACAACCCAAAGGTGCTCAGGTTTGGCTGCTGAAGCTCCACCATTTGTGTTTGTCCCCAACATCCCATGGTGGCCTTATTGGTACCTTTGGGGCCAAGGAGCTCAGAGCACCTCTTCCACGAAGCGTGCACGTCTTGCTGGGGCTGCCCACTGGGGTCGAAGCTGGGGCCCTGCAGTCTGTCGTCGAGTGTGTGCGCCACCTCAAATGCAGGAATGGGGTCTGAGGGGAGATAGAGAGAGAGAGGGAGGGAGGGAGGGAGGGACCACGGGGTTGAGGATATCCTTCCACAGAGAGCTGGAAGACAGTGGGCAAGAGCCACTAGGAGTTACTCTGATGGCTTCGAGGAAGCAGAGAGATCTCTTAAAATTTTTTTTAAAGATTTATTATTTTTAATTGTATGTATGTGTGTATGTCTGTATGTAGCATGTGCACCTGAGTGCAGTTGCTCTTGAAGGCTAGAGGCAGCAAATCCCTCTGGAGCTGTCTGATATATGTGCTAGAAATGAACTCTAGCAAGAGCAGTACACACTCAACCACTGAGTCATCTCTCTGACCCTTTTTTTTTTTAATGAAGATAGGGTCTCATGTAGCTCAAGCTGGTCTTAAACTCATTATGTAGCTGGGGATAACCTTGAACTTCTGATCCTACTGCTTTCACCTCTTGAGTGCTAGGACTGTCAGGGAGTACATGCCCTCTTTGGATGGGGGTCTTGCCCAGCTGGAAATGAAGCCATATCAGTTGCCATGGTAACAACATTTTCTTTTTTAAGAAAAATTATTATTTTTTATTTTATGTGTATGAGTGTATTGCCTGCATGTGTGTAAGTGCAATGCCTGTGGAGGTCAGAAGAGGGTGTTGGATTTCCGTGGAACTGGAGTTACAAATGGTTGTTAGCTGCCATGTGGGTGCCGGGAATCGAACCTGGGCCCTCTGGAAGAGCAGCCATCTCTTTAGCCCTAACAACATTTCCTTGATTCTGTGATGCTGTATCTGTGGTGGTCGCAAGACTGTGCCTTGACCACTAAACACAAGTGCCACTGAGGTAAGGTCTCAGTGGCCACGTTCTGAAACTGTTGTTAGTTTTTCTGGGGAGTCTATTTCTAGTCACCCCAGATAGAGTGGATCATGACAGGCCAAAGAAAAGATTCCATTCAAGTTTAGCTTAATGAACCAGAGGATTTACTGAGGTCACTTACAAGCACAATGGTGCCTCAGAGGCATCTGCACCACTGAAAGCCCAGCTCAGCCTGGGTGATGCCTCCTCAGTGCTGCATCCCTGGAGCTCCTTGTACACAGTGTGGGCAGTTTCACTGAAGAGTTTCTCCCCACCCCTAGGCCCCACAATTGTTATGGCTTTATAACCTTGGGGAGGGCCTCTGAGTCTTCTAAGTTTCGTGTGAGTTTCATAAGCCCCCTCCCCACCTTGGGAAGTGTCTCAATCTAGAGAAAACAGCTATGTAACTGAAAGCCACCGCGAAGACCAACCTACTCATGGGCCTCCCAGACAATGTTCTCATGCTGAGGTAACTGAGGTGGTTGGGACTGCTGTGGGGATTGACCTGAACTCAACCTCTGATCTGGTCCAGTTGCTTCCTGCTGGCTCCCCTCTCTCCAGCCTTTAGGGTCAAACTAGCCATGTGGTCTGTGGCTCTTCCATAGCTCCCAGTGCCCTTGTTTGATGTTCCCAGGAAACTCCTTATCCAGTTCCTTCTTTCCCACCATCTCACCCAATCAGCACAGCTCTTGGCTGGAGAGCAGAGCAACTGAGGTAAGCAAGCTGCGCCTGGACCCTGGTCCAAGCCACACTTCTTACAATTGCTGTGTGACCTTGGCAAGCAGCTCTACCTCTCTGTGCCTTGCCAAAAGCGGCAGCCTCAGGGGGCTGTATGATGAGAGCCACAGAAGGCACTCAACGCAGACCCCGAGATATGGGAACACACAGCAGCCCTCATCAGCTCTTCTTCACCATCCATCAGAAGCACCATCCTACCTCAGAGCTTTGCAAAGGAGCCACAGCAGGAACACACACAACACAAACGCCACCTCTTCCAGGGACCCCTCCAGGTTGAATCCATCCTCCAACACAAGAATGGTGCCTGTGCACCCTCTACAACTCCCACGGCAGTCAGTCTGTAAGTCTGTCTTATCCCTTGCTGGACAGAAACCCCACAATGGCTGGGATCCCCATTTATTTTGCTCCTCCTTCAACACTGAACCTGGCTGGAAGCCTGGACAAAATCTAACTAGGTAGATTTTTGCTGGTAGAAGACTCTGCCTACAAGGGGGAACCTTCAGGTCCAGCTGGAACAAGGAGACCCTTTGTTTGATTTCTCTATGTTCTGTTTGTTTAGGTGGTGGGGGGTAGGGGGCTGGACCATGGTGTGTACCAAGGTGAGCAGGTGCAAGGGACTCTGTGGTGGCTCTCCTCTGTGGTTCCCACCCCCGCCCCACGCCTGTCATTAGGCCGGGCTTGCTCAGCGGGGTGTGCCATTATGCCTCCCCGGGCTGGTGTAATTATACATTGACATAATTAACCCAGCAAGCGCATTAGGCAGACCGGCTAAAAATTCATCTCTAATTATTTGTTGTGTGCATGCTAACGAGCCCATCTGCACTGCCTTTGTACAACATGAACAAATTAATTTACAAGTCTGGATTTTTTAATAAGTTCAAGGAATTGCTGCCCATTGTGTCCTGGTTTTGAGGAAGGAAGAAAAAAGGCAAGGTGCTCGTGGGGGTCAGGGAAGTTAGATAAACATGGGGGGGTGAAAGTTGAGTAGGCCACAGAGGCCTTGCTGGGGGACCAAGGAGGTGGGAAAGTTCCAGTTCCTGGCCCCTGGGCCCTGGGCCCAGGCCAGAGGGTCACACTAGGGTGGGAAAGGAGGCCTGTTACTTCCACCTTCACAAGATCAGGGAGGCCCTTTGCTCTCGTCTTTGCTCACCTCGAGGAGCGGAGCGAGGAGTGAGGAGCTCGTGGCAGGCTTGTGTGTCCTGCCCTAGGAGGCTTCAGGCGACACCCCCGTCCCCCCGAGGGGGAAGAAATGTGCGTGTGTGTGTGTGTGTGTGTGTGTGTGTGTGTGTGGTCGGGGGTCCTGGACATTGGATCCTAGGCTTCAAACCTCAGCTTTTTTGTTTTCTGTTGCTGGTTCAGCATAGGACAGCTGGGAACTCACAGGCTCGGAAGTCTGGCTCTGGGTCCAAGTCCCTGGGGCTTTGAGGACAAAATCAAAATTTTATGTATTTGAGTGTTTTACCTGCATGTATGTAAGTGCTTCATGTTGTACAATGCCTGCAGAAGCCAGAGAGGGAGTTGGATCCCCTGGAACCGGGGTCATGGATGGTTGTTAGCCACCATGTAGATGCTGGGAACTGAACCCAAGTCCTTTCTAAAGGCAGCCAGAGCTCTTAACTTTTGGAGGCATCTCTCTAGCCTGTTTTCCTAATTTTAAATGGGAACAGTACAACAGTTCTTACTTCTAAGAGGTACTAATGGGGGGATTAAAAACACTGAGTGGCCCTGGAAGTGGGGTCTGTCATCCCAGGTGCTCTGGAGGTTGGGGCAGGAGGATTACAAGTTCAAGGCCTGCCTGGGCAACTTAGTGAGCCCCTATTTCAACATAAAAGGTAAAAAGAGGGCTGGGGATGTAGCTCAGTTGGTAGAATGCTTGCCTGGCATGCACGAAGCCCTGGGTTTCACTCCCAGCGCCACACAAACCAGGAAGCCAGAAGTGGTGGCACATGCCTACAATCCTGGCACTCTGAAGGCAGAGGCAGGAGGATGACGAGGTCAAGGTCACACTCATATTGAGTTTAAGGTCCTAGATGAGACCCTGTCTTGAAAAAAAGAGCTGGCATAGGTTTTATCACTAGTACTGCCCCCCCCCCCAAAGACAGCAAGGGAGAGTGGAGTGAGGGTGGGGGTGCCTAAGCCATGGGGTGCTGAGAGCCCAGCAGGTAGGGCCTGGGAACTGGGTAGGGGTGCTGGCTGCTGAGGCTACCCTAAGACAAGTGCTCACTGGGGCCTGGGTATGCTAGGGTCTGCTCTCTACTCTGTGGAGTCTGGGGACAGAGGGTGGCCTCACATGCTGGCATTAGTACAGGGAGAAACAGGAGTCTAGCCACCTTGCTCTGAGCTAACTACATTTTGGGACCCTAAGAGGCCACCCAGACGCTCCCTCTGGAGCTGGAATGGTCGGCTTTGTTTGTCCCTCACCCCCAATCCAATGCACAGATGGGTCTATGTGGTAACAGAAACCTGCTAGACTACTGGTGATGGGGCTGAGATGGCCCCCAGGCTGCTTCCTTCCCTACTGTGGGCCTTCTGATTCTCATCTCCCAAAGCCTGTGATTTTCCCAGCCATGTGACTTGTGGGAGAGAGATACTGCTGTATTCGTTTCACAGATTGGGAAACTGAGGTAGGGTGATAGCACTTCCCTAGGGTGAGGCAGTAGGGGTGGGGATCCCTGAGGTGGGTCTCCAGGGTAGGTTAGCTATGGTTCCCAGTATCCCCTGAGACCCTGTCAGGTGTCTTGGACTGTGTGTCACTCCCAGTCCTTTAGGTGGCAAGTGAGATGCCCTGTTGTTAGGCTACCACTGGACCTGTGGTTTCTGGGTCCTCTTAGCTTCAAATGGAGTTGTCCATCAAGACACCCCACCTTCTCCACCTTCCCCTGACTTGGCTGGCCAGTCAGTCGCTGCCCTGGGACCTCTCTCCAACTCCTGCTGAGCAGGCACAGGTCCCTCTACCTCCCAGTAGGTTCCTTCCAGCTCCCTGGCTTTTGCCACCTAACACTAAAGATCTCTGATCTAGGATATGGAGGGGCTGTGACAGGGGAATCCGAGAAATCCCTGGTTCCAATGGGCTCATTTCAAGGCTGCGTAAAGATGGGGCTCCACACAGGAAAGGGGTGGTGAGCTGCACCTCACAAGTGTGGGCTAGGCACAGGGCACTCTCCTGGGGCAACACCACAGGTTTAGGGATGAAGGAATTCCACTAGGCTGACTCTGAGTAGCCAAGAAGCAGAGAGGTTCACAAAAAGAAAGAGAGAGTCCCCAAAGGGTCTAGAGGGCACACATATACAGTAGGCACTTAATAAATTCCTACTGAGCACTACAGCAAGAGAGGCACTGGTGTTCCTTGACTAACATGGTACAGGAGGAGGCAGAGGAGCTCAGGCAGGGAGCTGGGTACAGGGATCTGAGTTGGAATCCTACCTT